AATTTCCCTCCCACTTTTGAAACACAAACATGCACATTTAAAAGTTTGTCTGTAATTCTCCCCCTCCCACCCATCAGCTCCTAGGAATACACAAATCTTTTCATATGAAATCCCATTCCACACAGTTAAAGTGTGCATTCTTGGAAAATGACACCAGAAGCTACACTTTACCCTATACAAGAGTAAATCAACACTGAATTGTTACTTACTGGTAACATGGCTATGCATCTAATTTGAAATCATTTTCAAAGTCTGTCATAAACATCAAAGCTCTCATTGTTATTTAAGGAAAAAAATTAAAAAGGAAAATAGATATTTACTATACTTTTTTCTCCACAAAAATAAGTGCACCAGCAAACTTCACACAGAATTCTGCTCCTTTTTGTCTTAAAGGGAACCTATTTCTCAAGTGAATTGCCTTCCCTACCTTATTACTTGAAGAGATTACAGTCAGGGTTGTATATTGTAGCTACCCTGTATTTAGAAGCTGGGTAATAAACCACATAAATAGCACACTGAATAAAACATTAAGACATAAACGGAGTTAAATAGAACAAAGGGCTAAAGCTTATTGTGCAATAACCATGCCTGACCCGTGGAAATACAAAGGACCCATAATTCTAGTTAGCAAAATGCAGAGTTGGGATTTAAATCAGGAGGAAGCCAATGGTGGTTGAGTGCTGGAGCCTCTTCCACAGCCTTGCAGGGCCCTCTGGTGGAAACAGGAATCCATCTCATGGCTGCCCAACAACGCTGCCAGGAAAAATGATGCTCCAACCCCAAAATAAAGGGAGAACAAGCAGCACGGGTTTTCCCTGTTTTCTTAAAAGCAGCAATACTTTTAATATAAAGCTTCATTTTTCAGCTCTCCTTTAAGGAGATTAAATCCTGGAGCCATGTAAGTAAGGAATTTTTCCTCTGACTCCAGTGGGAGCAGAGTCTGTCCATAAAGACCTGAAAGTAGAGAAAAGAAATCCTTAAAGCTGTGAAAAACTGCAGTTGATGTGGAACATTCTGCCCAAAAATTTAGATCCCTCAGCGAAGCTGGAAGCATTGTAGGTGAGCACCATCACACAAAACAGCCTCAAAAAAGCCAGGCTGCACCAGTAATTCATGGCAGAAACTGCTCAGCTGGCTGTGCCAGCTCAGGGCTGCAGGGCCAGCCCCCACACGAGCTGACCTGACAAAATGACTTTTCAATGCTTCTTCATTTGTGACTTTGAGCAGTGAGGTGGAAACAAAGCTTTTCTGGTACTAAATGTATGTTGTTCCATCCAGCACAGCATGGAATTGATCATTGTATTGGTGTTAGGCACTCAAGAGCCTGAAATACTGCCCATTAAAAAAAAAAAATAAATTGGTGCTTATGCTTCCCTTAGTTATTGTCAGGGCAAAAGGGAAACTCTTGAGAAGGGCATTCACAGCAACAAAGTCAGATGAACATTCTCATGTTTCTTCTCCACATAGATGTACAAGGAGGCTGCTAAAATAATCTGCACAAGCAGCATCTTTAATGATCTAATGGTAATGAGAAGGAAATTTCCTCCTCTGCCTTTTGCCTCGGTCAGTCAGGGCAATCACTGCTCCAATGAAAAACAGACTGCAGTCTCCAAGCTGGATTCAAATCCAAACTGCTCCAAAGCAAGGCAGGATTGAACACCTCTCCTCTGACAGGTATTTCAGGGGATATTTGTGATTAATATTTCACAGAGCAAAAGAAAGAACCAGGTCTGTCTTACACTTCATTACAGGGAAGAGGCCTCCATTGTCAAAGGGATTTCTCAATGCCATTCTCTCCCACTTTTCAGGGGCAGGTTGGTCCATAAGATCCAGGCTCTGTCCCTGCCTGAATAGGGCAGACAGCTGACAAATGTCTTTTTTTCAGGCACCATCTAGCATCACCTAGGTCAATAATTGTCTTTTCCCAGACTAGGCTCCTTTAAAATGGCAGTATTTTGAAAAGAAGAAGTCAATTCCCACTTTTCATCTTAAATTCTCTTGTCTGCTCTTAGTTAATAAAGTTTCTTGGCTGTAGCAAGCACACATTTATTTAAAGGTGCTGATGATGTCAAGTAAATCATTTGAAACACACTGATTGTCAGGAGCAGACGCAACCTGCCCTTAAAAACCAGCTCCTCTCAAAGCATCCCAGGCTGGGCAGCAGGTACTGCCTCCCACCTCAGCAGGTACCTGTCAGATGGCAGCTGCTGGACCTAAAGGACAAAGCCTTTGCTGAACCCAAAGCTTGGATTCATCCCTCTAATGTGCTTCAGGACATTCTACTTTGAAAAATGGGAATGCTGCCTATTGACTGCAAAAAATTTTGTCTCAATTGCTATCCAAGAACATGCTAATTTGTATGAAATAAATGAGGCTAATTATTTGCTTTCCACAAAACAGGCTCTGCTAAAAGCTCTGAATTATTTGTTTTCCTGATGAACAAGGCAGCACCTTGCTCACATAATAGATTCCATCAGAGATTTGATTTTCCATTAGAAGGTCAATCTATGTGTTGTGTCAGGCAGCAAAGATAAGATGAGGCTGGGAAATGCAGGCCCCTTGAGGACAGACCCCTAAACCCTCTGTGGTGCCAAGAGTCAGATGTAGGGAGCTGGAGAATCAAAAATGGGATCACTGCTTCATCTACTGGGGTGTTTGTGAGGGTCTCCAGGACAAGGGAAGAGATGAATCTGACTCCATGTTCTCAGAAGGCTGATTTATTATCTCCTGATATTATATTAAAAGAATACTATACTAAAACTATAATAATAATATTAAAAGAATACTATACTAAAACTAAAGAAAGAGAAGGATACATCAGAAGGCTTCAGAAGAATGCATAATAAAAACCCTTGACTGCTCAGAACCTCAAAACAGCTGGACTATGATTGGTCATTAAATTAAAACAATTCACATGTTGGATAAATATTCTCCAGACCACATTCCAAAGCAGCAAAAACAGATGCTGAGGCTTCTCAACTTCCCAGGAGAAGGAATCCTGGCAAAGGGATTTTTCAGAAAACAGCATGGTGACAATCTACCACATGGAATCAAAGTGGGATGGGGCTCACTTCAGTGTACAAAGGAGGGAAACTCACATTTGGGGAAGAAGGGGGCACCACAGTCTAAAAAAAGTACATGAAGTCTCCAGCTTCAAGGGTGTCATTTGAAAATAGCTTGGTCCAAGCTATTGAACCAAGTCCATAGTTGGACCAAGCTATTGATGAGGAGCAGAACCTTCTTTTAGCTCACCAGAGAAATCACAGCACATACTCAAAGTCAAGACACTTGACTGTGGTTGTGGTACCTCTTTGACAGGGTGGAAGGAATTCCGTGTGTCAATTTAAGGTATGCTCTCAATCATTCTGGAATTTTATGTAAAAAATATGGTCATGATTTACAGAATATACTGTGTTCATCATACAAACTCACAAGACAAGATCACTGCTGCCTTACTACGGGTATTTCCCTTAGGTACACAGGCAAAGTGCATCTTGAAAGGACAAAAATAACATTTCTTCTGACAAGACCACACCCCAGATGACAAAAGCTGCTCTTCTCCAGGTTTGTCTGCAGAGTCAGCTCTGCAATGCTCTGCTATTAACTTGGGACTGTGCACAGACCTCCTTCCTCGTGGAAGGGATGCAACTAATTCCCAGAGCATCAAACTAATTCCCAGAGCAGCAAAGTGTGGCTGTGTTTTACAACAAACACAAGTGCTGCACAGCCAGGGAAAGCAGAGTTGGTGATGGGGGAAGGCAAGGAGGAGGTTTTGTAGCTCTCAGAGACACAGCAGCTACGTGCAGGTCAGTCAGTCCTGCTTGCCAGTTCTGGAGGTATTTTGGTGAGCACGGGAGGAGCCCTCAGCTCCCACCTAGACAACCACTGGAAGCAGCCAGGAAAGAGATCAATAGTTTGTCTCTTATGGAGGATGGAGCCTCTACCAAATGCATCCTCACTTCCCAGCCCTGAGGGGAGTGGATGCTAACATTAGACCTGGACCCACAAGAGTCTGGCTCAGAGCTAAGAACATTGCATATGGATTTGAGGAGTAACACCTGATTTAGGGGCACATCACAGAGAGCAACACTTGCAGAAGTCCCCAAGACAGCATGCTGCTGACTGTGGTGCTGAGAACAGACCCATTGTGGGGTTTGCAGGCAGACTTTTTGTCCTCTCCTGAAAAGCAGCACTGACAAGGGTATTTTGTTACCTCATCTCTCTCTCTAGTGGGATCAAAGGTGGCACAGTCTTAGCACAGCTATCCCATTTTATTTAGGACTTGCACAGATACCTTCACATTAGCACTGGTACATCTTCATCTCTTTCTGCTTTCAAGCCGATGTCTGCATGATCCTAACAGAGATGTTGCTACAAAAATCCAGTCTGGAAGTCAATCCAGCTCGTTCTGAGTTTTTCTGACATTTATAATAATGATAACACATCATGCCTGGTAGATATTTCCCTACTACAATAGTACTTCCCCTTAAATGCAAGGTCTTTGTTTTCTCATTATGCCAGTTAGGAAAAGGAGGAGAGTATCAGAGGCTGATCTAAGCACAGGTCAGAATTTGTGTCAGTCAGTGAAAGAACTGGCTAACATGAGTCTGAGGGCTTCGATTTATTGCCCACCACCGCTGTAAAGTCAGTTGATAACAACAGGATTAAGAGGGTGAAGATAAAGATACATCTCAGAATGCTTTTGGATAAGGATAAAGCAAAATGACACAAACAAATGCCAAAGACCTAGCAGTCATGAAGTCGCTCCAAAAACCTCCTGGCAAGCTTCAGTACATAAATAACTAGAGAAAAGCCATGAAAATGTACAATAACTCTTTTTGTTTTTTTCCTTGTTGGTGGTGTATTTTTAACCTATTGCACTGATTATAACATACTGTCAACAGCCTCATCAATTATCCATTGCTAGAAAGTGGGCTCTCACATGCTGCAAGTGGTATTAATTGGTCTCAGTAGCACATAATGAGTTTAAAAGCTCCTACCTGTGTGCCCCCGGGGATGGTGACTAGAGGCGGACAACAATTTACAGCAGACCATTAACACATAGAGCAGAAAGAGCCAGTCAGACAGAAGCATTGATTTGGCACAGAATCTCATCCTGGAGGCAGAAAAGGAAGCAGTTGAGTGAAAGAACAACGCAAGTAGGGAGTAACGAAAACAATGTGGGGAAGGGAAAGCTGAAGAATAACTGATGTGGGTTATTGCAAGGCAACACTCATAAAAACAGATTCATTACTTGGATGGGATCAATTCTTTGTTAAGGACACTTTATAATTAGAAGCAATGTCTATCACACATCACATTACCCACAAACACGTGTTTACAATAACACATTATGAGTGCAATACCATTCTATGAATCTGAGAGAAGGGATGGGTTCTTTTGTCTTTTATCAAGATCCAGCCACATTTAAATTTAAATATACATATTCATGAGTTGTTGCTATTATTTTTAAACTGCACCTCCCCCAGTGACAGAAAAAAAATGTCATTTTTACTTAACACTTTTCAGGACATATTTACTAAAGCTACCAACTCCCCTGTAGCCTTGCACAGGACTCGGCTGGGTCTCCCAAACACACAATATTTGGGAGATTTCCTGGAGATCACCTGGTTTACTGAGGGTAAAACATTCATGAAACAGCACCTCAGCCAAACATGCAAGGACTCACTTCTCTGCCAGTGTGTTGAAAACTGCATTTCAGAAAACATTTGCTCGAAAGAAGATGTTGTTACTCCTATTTGTGTTATTCTTAGAAATAAAATCCCAAATCCTCCATAATTTTTCTGCACATATCTAGAATTAAATCCCTCAATAGCTTATGTTATGCCATTCATCATATAGAAAGAGAATCTAATCATCTTTTTAAACTTGGTTATGATGATTTATTGCTTGCAGGATACATAAATGGGCATTATGAACTTGAACCCTGTGTTCCACAATTTCAGCAAATTCTGCAAGCAGGAATACATCAAATTAATTAAAGGCAATTTATAGATTTGCATAAATTGAATCAAATTCTGTTTTCATGGCAGTGACATTAGTCTGCAGTTAATCAGCACGCAGGGATTTGGGCAAGCCTACCACAAGTTTATTTGCACCAGAAGGTCCTTTGGGAACTGCTTTCCCTCTGCAGAGTCCAGCTCTGAGCCTTCCAAGAATTTTCTAAAGCAAAATTATCTGTATATCTTCAAAATACCTAAGACTATTCAGCTAATCCAATGTTCAAGTGCTGAAGAGACAAATTTAAAAAAGAAATCCCAAGAAACACATGCCTGAAACAACTCTACTGTCACAACCAGGTGACACACTTGGACACTGTTTAAATTTTATAAACATCTACCAATGAAACCAAAACAGAGGCCATGGTTTCTCACTCAAAATTGCTCACACAATTTCCCTTTTCAGACTTTGCAGAACAATATTTTTTCTCTAATTGCAAATGTTGATAAATCCCAAACAAATAAAAAATGTGCTTATTAATAACAAAATTTAAAAGACCAGAAGCCTGCTACATGTAAATATATTTTAGCAACAAATTCTTGTTTACACTGTACAAAGAAATGCATTAGTGAAAACCCCAGCACCTTCAGCCTACTTTTTTTTTTTTTAATTACATAAATATTGCAAAAAAAAAAAAAAAAAATCTCACCATGTCTACAGATTTCAGAGAATGAAAATAATATGTAAAGAAGCCACGCTTTAAGCACTGATTTGGCAAGAGGGTACCTTTTCTGGCTTTAAGAAGATGCTCTGTTTTGAGCCCAATCTGTTTCCACCCTGAATGCAGGAACAAACACCCTGCTGGCCTTTCACAGCTGAGCATGAACCAGGCCCAGAGATAAAGACATCACTGCTCCTCACCCACCCTCTAAGTACCCTCTTCTGGAGCTCTCCCAGGTTAATTCAGAGCAGCTGAACCAAATTCACCTCTTGCATGCAGCTGAACCCATAATGTCACTGCAGCTAATGGGATTGAGTCACTGTGAAACCAGCTTAAATGTCACTATTGCTGTTAGTCCAGTATTAGCCTAAGAAAACTGCCTGGTAAGTTCTAAAATCACTGTACCATTTCTGATTTTGGTCATCTCAATCTTTCCTAGGTGACTGAACTTGTTTTTTATCATTTTTTTTTAGGAGAGAGCTGAATTTAACCTTAGTTTTCTTGGCTTCTCCATGAGAAACACACAGGTTAGAGCTCATGAATAGGATGCCATCATCTGCTCAGCTTCCAATCCCATCTTTCTGCTGCTGTAAATGCAAACACTCAGATCTGATCCAAGCATCACCCCAGCTCTGGTGTCACTCTGGTGAATCACCATGAAGGCACAAACGTTCCTCCAGCTTTCCTGTGGAATTAAATACCCCAGCTCAGGCATTCTGGACATGCCATTTCTGGTGGGATTTGGTGGAAGGGGCAGGTGTGATGATGGACAGGTCCCAGATCATGCATCATGTGCTCAACAGCTGCTCTTTCAGCACTTTAGTGGACCCAGGTGTTCCCACCATTTTGCAGCAGCAAAACTGGTCTCCATGGAAATAGTCTTGTACTGACCTATTTTCAAAAGTTTTCCCCAGCTGAGCTTGACTCTTTTGAGTCATTAAACGAGGAATGTGAAACCTGGGCTCATCAGGTTAACAGGGTAACCTCAGCCCTGTGTAAGGACATTAAATTCCAGGCATAAGTGTATCACCACAAAGCATCCACTTGGTCACATCCAAACTGAAAGGATGCTAAAAGCATCCAGTACCATCCAAGGGACACATCTGCAGGCTTTAGTCTGCCTTGCAGGTAGACAGGACACAAGTTTTCAGCCTGCTAATGTAAAGAAATACAAGAGGATCTCTGAAAAGGCAGAGAAAAAATGAAATTTGGCAGACAGATGCAGCAAGGGGTGCCAAGCCCTTCAGCGTCAGTGGGCTGCTGCTTTCAGAAATGTCAAGCCTTCATTCTCTATTGGATTCAACTGGATATTGTTGCTAACCAGAACAGAGAATCTTCAGTGTCATTTGAAAGATAAAAAGTGCTCTTACCTTGGGGACTTTGCAAGAATTTTGTTCCAGTCAAACACAATTATTTCAGTGTGTTTTTCATAGTTATTCCAGATTCCCATTTGCAGCAGCAAATAAGCCTTTCTGCATCTCAGAATTTTTCCTTCACTTTGGGGACCTAGAAAGAAAACCACATTACACTGCAATTAATGTCTGCAAGGTGCTGTAAAACACATCTTTGTTACCAAAACCTTAGTTTCACAGTGCCATCTACAGTGCAATCCGAGGCAAAAGGCAGCAGTTTTATTTCTCTTTTCTTCCTGAGATCACAGAGAGGCTGTGGTGAGGCACCCTGAGGTATCACTGCATTAACCAAAGGTAAGTTAGCTGTGCATGGGGTTGCACAGAATGTGAGCAGCTCACTGGGCTCTCCCCACCACGTGCCCCCTCTCCACCCAGCTGCTGGGAAAGCTGTGAGGTCTCTAAGGCTGCGCCACAGCGCAAACACATTTCCACATGGTTCCATGAAGCCTCCAACAGTTTGAAGCAGAGATTATTAAAGATAGTGAGGAAAATCTGTCACTGGCTTCACAAAGATTTGGCCCTGGAGGCTGCCTCAGCAGAGGGGTCACAACCACAGGAGACTGTGTGGGCTTGTGCATTTTTGCACCCTCTGACCCTGCTGCCTCTCCTGGCTCCCAGCATCACCCCCCACATCACCCAGCCCACCTACACCTACAGCCCACCTGGGAAGTTCTAAAATCAGTGCACCATTTCAGATTTTGGTCATCCAAATCTTTCCCAGGTGACTAAACCTTTTTTTTTTTTTTTTCCCCCTTAGTTTTCTTGGCCTCTCCATGAGAAACACACAGGTTATATCTCATGCTGCAACCCAGGAGTTACACTCTGAAATCTCCACATGGAAATGCTTTTACAGCAGCTCTGACACATGTTCTGCAGAATAAGGAGCTCAAACACTCCATTTTATAGACACTCAGGCCTCTTTGCCTTTGCTGTTTATATTTGTTCTCTCACTTCCATCCCTGGGCACAACTTGACCTTCTGCTACTGAAAACATGACACAGAGCAATTTGTGAGAGTAATAATAATGTGATCTTCACCCAGACAGCGATCAAACAACCTTTTCTCATCCACCACTCTTTTCATTCCACTCCTCCTTTGACCAATTAGAAATTTGCTGTTAAGAAACACAAAATTACAGCACCACACTGGAGGGCAGAGCATGTCTGGGGTCATAAAAGCACATAGGCACCTTTCAGCAGCTCAGGACAGGAAAGCCCCTGGCTCAACATGGTCATGGAATCACAGAACCTTCCATAAACAGGTTGGAAGGGACCCTAAAGCTCATCTTGTTCCAAACCATGGGCAAGGACACCTTCCATTGGACCAGGCTGCTCAAAACCCCATCCAACCTGGCCCTAACAGCTCCTTTTTGTTCAGAATGCCCTGAGAAAATAGAGTAATTGCTGGAATTAAAGAGGTGCCATGCCAGCAATCTATAATTAATCACATTTTACTCTCTTTGCTTTCCAAGGTGGAGGTCCAGGGTGAGCCAAAATCAGCAGTTCTATCAAATCAGCAGTGGATATCAAAATAAAATGCAGGAAAAGAGTTGTCTTAAGAAAAAGCACTACCAACCCACATTCATCCTTTTTTCCAAAAGTACACATAAAATAAAAAATAAAAATAAAACAACAGTGTGCCTCAAAAGACCTATTAAGAAGAAGCAAACAAACAGGATTTTCAATTTAGCACTGAGTGACTGAAATGGTTGTGGTACATTTTTACCCATTTCATAATAGGACAGGTAGATAAATACATTCTTACAGTGCTCTTGTAGAAATCAATACTGCAATACACTAACTTGGCTTTTAGTGCTTATCTGTTCCATAATTTTTATTAGAGAGGAAAATAAAACCCCGTGCAGATGTAGCTACAGGTAAATACAAACATCAGTGCAACCTGCTCTGTAAACACATGTTAAACACTGGTAAAAGGCAAGGGAGTATTGATTAGTCCAACTCATCCTAATTAAGTGGATGCAGCGGAAGTGACAGATGATACATCCACCTGCATATCTCCAGGCTTTCTGATGCCTTCCAGGCAGGGATACTTCTTTTAAAAATAGAGTTGTACTAGGGGAGATTAAGGCAAACTCCTGAAACCAGCTTCAGCTGGTTTATGTCAATAAAGGAGACAGATCAGAACAGAAACAAGAGGCTCACCTGGTTAAGAACTGTAAAAGGAATTCCAGGCTTTTCATGGCAAAAGTGTGCTTTGTGTGTGTTGTGTGAACTGTGGGTTTAACTGCTGGCCCCTGCCTTGTCTCAGGGTGACACCTGACTTTGGAAAACAGAGCTGCTTGTTTGTTTTTGTACAGTGAGCTCTGGCCAGTGAGCAGCTGAACCCCACCTCCAACTCCAGCAACGATGTAGAAAAGAAGGAAGAGAGAATTGGAGAGGAGAAGAGCTCAATTTTCAGTATTTATGCATGTGCTGGCCACGAGCAGCTCCTGCACATCAGATCCCCGGAGGCTACACCACTCCCCTGGGTCAGTATTTAGGGCAAATGAAGATTGTGGGTTCTGGGATCTGGAGGGAATTGCAATGGGCAGGTTTGCTGTGCCTTGGTCCCAGCACAATCTGCTCTCTGTGCCTCTGCACTTGAGTAAAATGGGTATAAACAGCATTTCCCTGTGCCAGGGAAGAGTTTCAAGAACAGAAACAATAAAGGTCTAAAGTTATTTGAAAACTGTATAGGCACTGTATAATTCCTTTGACAGATGGAATAAGATAACACTTTAAATTAGGTACATTTCCTACCAATATTTACATGTTGTAAAATGCTTTTTATGGCTACTTTCTGCAAAGAATAAATTACTAAACCATTTTGTGCCATCTTTTATAATAAGCTATTAAATAATTTAGAAAACCTCCTTTCATTAAATATTTAAAAGGCCTTAATTTCTCCATTCTGAATAATTCCTCACTTAAAATACAACTGTGCATCTCTTAAAGTCTCCTCTTCTGTAAAGCAAGGGGTGAGAAGGAAAGAAATTTGGGGGCCACATACTGTTCAGGGGATTTGCCAGCCTGACTTTAACCCCAATGTCAGCCTGGCCAAACTCTTCTCTCATACAGAATAAAGGACAAAGGGAAAATAGAGCAATATCTGATATTTCTTAGAAGAGGGGAATTTGGGGGCCACATACTGTTCAGGGGATTTGCCAGCCTGACTTTAACCCCAATGTCAGCCTGGCCAAACTCTTCTCTCATACAGAATAAAGGACAAAGGGGAAATATCTGATATTTCTTAGAAGAGGGTGGAAAATATCTGCTTAGGTCACTGTGTGTATTTGAAAACTGCTGCTGTTTGAGGGAGCTAGAGACAAAAGAGAGAGCTAAAGCAAACACCTACACCAGAACCCATTCTGGGGCTAAATCACTACACACAGTTATTCAGTGACAGTACTCGAAGGGGATTTAAAGAAAGAAGAAGAGCAACTTTTTACACGGGCAGGTATTGACAGGACAAGGGGAATAGTTTTAAATGAAAAGAGGAAACATTTATATTAGGTGTTATATAAAAGTTTTTCCTGTGAGGGTCGCGAGGCCCTGGCACAAACTGCCCAGGGCAGCTGTGGCTGCCCCACACCTTGGAAGTGTCTAAGGCCAGGTTGGATGGGACTTGGAGTAACCTGGGACAGTGGAAGGTGTCCCTGCCCATGACAGGGGGTGGAATGGGATGGGCTTTGAGGCCCCTGCAACCCAAACCATCCCTGGTTGTGTGCTGATGCTGCCCCATGGCCTGGTGCAGTTCCAGGGCTGCAGGTGAGTGATGTCAGGGTGCAGGGGTCACAGGTGACTGTCTCTGTCATGGTACAGGCAGTGACGTCCCTGTTGGGATACAGGTCACTGTCCCTGTCAGGACACAGGTCACTGATGTTCCTTTCGGGACATAGATCACTGCCCCTGTCATGATACAGGCAGTGATGTCCTGTCGGGATACAGGTCACTGTTGTGACACAGGTCACTGATGTCCTGTCGGGATACAGGTCACTGATGTCCTGTCGGGATACAGGTCACTGATGCTCCTTTCGGGACACAGATCACTGATGTCCTGTCACGACACAGGTCACTGATGTTCCTGTTGGGACACAGGTCACTGATGCTCCTTTCGGGACACAGATCACTGTATCTGTCATGATACAGGCAGTGATGTCCTGTCGGGATACAGGTCCCTGTCGCGACACAGTCACCGCGGTCCCTCTCGCGCTGCCGGGGCCGCTCCCGGCGCTTCCCGAGGATCCAGCGGGGCGGTGCTGCCCCCTGGCGGCCGCGCGCCTCTCTCCATGCGGCTCCTGCCCCATTCCCAGCTCCACTCCCTGCCCGGGATCAGCCCCGCTCCGTGCCCCGGGCCAGCCCCGCTCCCTATCCCGGGCCAGCCCCGCTCCCTGCCCCGCTCCCTATCCCGGGCCAGCCCCGCTCCCAGCCCCGCTCCCTATTCCGGGCCAGCCCCGCTCCCTGCCCGCTCCCTATCCCGGGCCAGCCCCGCTCCCTGTCCCGGGCCGGCCCCGCTCCCAGCCCCGCCGGAGCCGCCCGGCCCGGGGCAGCCCGGCGCTCAGTGCAGCAGCGCTCCTCTTGGGACAATTAGCGCCGCTCATTAACCCATGAACGCGTCGCTGTCGCAGCTGCCCTCGGGGCGCTGGCATTCAGCCCACGGTCACAGCCCTGTCCTCCCGGTGCCCATCGGCCCCGGCAGTGGATGGATAGAGGGAATAACGCGGCTCAATTCTGGATTTGGTCCCTTAACCCTCACCCAGAAATCTCTACATCAGCTCACGTAATTCAGCTTGATCTGGAGGCTTTGAGGGTCAGTAAATCCCCCTCGCGGGTTATTCCAGCAGTTAATTAACCTCACCTTAAGCACTGCACCTTCCAGCTTGTACCTCGCGATACATTCCCGTTGTTTTCCCAGCTGGCACATCCCACCGGGCTGTGTCAGGCCTTAAAGGCCTCCGTTCTGCCAATCCTTACTCACAGCAAGTAAGGGTTACACCAGGTAGGAAGACTGGGCAAACTGAGAGAGGACTTTAAGTTACCCATGGAGTACAACCACAGAGTCACAGAGTCACAGAATTTTTT